TAGTCAACAATTGTAATCTTAACATAAAGAAATAAAAGGAATTTGTTTGAATCTATGTGATTAATGTGTTTATATTGTGTGTAAATAATATTAGGTGAAAACTTAATAAATAGGGCTAAAACATATATTAAATTAAAATGTTAATTAGGATAAATAGTCTTGATAAAAGTTGAAGTAGTCGTGATGATGATTTCAGGGATATAAGGAACACAAAAATCTAACTTCGTATGAAAAGGTTATGATTCGTTGAAGTTTCGCGTTCAACCCGATACGACACCGAGCATCGTAAATAGTGAATTGGAGATAGGTTTCTTATGAGCCTAAGTAATCTAAAAGAAGTCGTAGTAATCGTAAAAACGAATCTGTGCATATAGAGAACATCCAAACTTGACTTCATATGAGGAAGTTATGATTTTTCAAAGTTTCAGCACAACTGTGTTAACACAAAAATCGAAATTTAGATCGGTTATTTTTTAGCCGAAACGATCTAAACGAGAATTGAAGATCTCGTGACGATGAGTTCGTCAATATAAAGATAGTCGAAAACGGAGTCCGTATGAAGAAGTTATGAATTTTACATGGTTATTTGCAGTGTAATATTCGTAGAATGTTAAGTTTAGGATCGGCTAAGAACTAGCCAATAGAGTCTAAATCAAAGTTATAGTACTCGGAAATACCTACACGTGGATATAGAGAACGTCGAAAACAGAGCTCGTATAACCGAGATATGAATTTTTAAAGATACAACTCGTACCTACCCCTTCTGTCACGTAGCTCCACCCATTGATTGCCACATGTCTGTCTTCTGTAGGAGGAGTACCGGCCACAACAGGGCGCACCGCGCCCCCTGTCTTGATGTGGTGCGCATCGAGCAAATTTTTCCCTAAAAATTGAATTGCAACCCTTTCACTTTTCTCACACCTTCCGACTTTCTCTCTCGAGTTTCACTCAACTTTAGTCCATTTTCCCTTAGATTTAAGTCCTTGGCAAAGCCCTGAGATCCCCGTCATTAACACCTATCGAGTCGGAGTACCGACAATGCAATTTTCGGACTTTTGTCAGGAAAATCTCTGTAAGTTAAGCTTATATTACTTTCAGTGTAACTTATATTTATATTAATATTTGTTGTTATGAATTTATAAATAAGATTTATCATTGATTCCAAGTCATTATACTGATTGATCTACTTACGGGGATGATGTCTAGGCTAGATTTAGCAAGGTGTTTAAAGTGAGATTTCCAAATAGTATACTATGTATACCTAACGGACCCTACCTATGATATAATCTTATATGGTTGCTCCTTACTTTATAGATCTTGATGTAGACATTGAAATTGTTGAGGAATCTAGACTATCCTTAGTCATAATAAATAATAAACTAAGACTTAGTGATATGATCCTAGGTCACGTCAAAGAAAAAGCTACGTGCTGAAGCGAAGCGTTACCAAACTTTCCAGTCATCCACTTTATCAAGTGAGTGTATAGTAATTTCAGTTTACACATAAATATAAAGTATCTAGAAGATTAAATTCTATGTGTGTCTATCATCTGAAATTACTTGGTATCTGTGATAGATAATATGATTTTACTAGCTTTAATCGTATATGTATTTTCATATATATATATATATATATATATATATATATATATATATATATATATATATATATATATATATATATATATATATATATATATATATATATATAATATAGTGGGTAGTAATGAGTAATGAAAGATGAAATGATGATATGATGATGAGAGGCCTTTATTACTGATGGACCAGTCATCTAGCAGAGTATAGATGACGACCACAGACTATTCTAGACAGTCCAGTGGAACGCTGACATACTTGCAACTTGTAGGTGTTAATGGGCTATTTGTTCATTTGATGTACTCTACCCCCATGGTTTCCTTATTGACATATAGTGCTAATGGAATCCCCCCAAGCAATATTGTTTACCCGTTGTTGATGAAGATCCTTAGGATAGGTCCATTGAGATCAGTATTTTAGGATCAGTATGTGAGAATAACGGGAATAGATAATCGGGTAAATTATTTGATGTGAAATATATAATTAAAGAGCTTAATTATTATGGGTTGAAAAGCGTATGTGCTCATCAGGCTTCTAAACCTAACCCACTCATTTTCTTTGTATCACATATAGTGGTACGAAGGCCAAGGATGATGAGTGATTTGAGGAGTTTGTAGGCCATAATATAATAAATTGTTCTAAGGTCTGATCGAACATGTTTATGCTTATGTATCTATATCGAATGATGACATCCTAAGGTTTTTAAATATAAATGAAAAATGTTTCTTTAGAAATACATTATGTTTTGGGGACAAATTTTGCATTAAGTTTTATACTCTGAATTAAATAAGCATAAATATGCTTTTTTTTAAATTAGCCATGAAAACGAGGATGTCACAGAACCGGCCTAAACCCGAACGGAATTAAAAGAACCAAAAACCAAAAATAATGGATTGGGGAGAATCGGGAACTCGACCGAATACCACTAATTGGTTCCAAATGGTTCCGGTTCCAATTCTGGTTTGTTTTTTCGGTTTAAAAATCTCACCCCTAATTAAATGATATGATTTTAATAGATATTATATATAATGGAAAAATGACTTAGGAGGGTAATTATCTTTTAGTTTTGTTTACATACGGGTAACATTTTATTTCTTATACACCATAGGGTAACTAACTTGTTTAATGTGTCCACATCTAATAACTCTTACCAGATATCTTAGGTTACTCCTTATATGACATATACGTACCATATATGTGACATATACGTGGCATGTACGTGGATAAGAAAAAGGAAAAATGACTTAGGAGAGTAATTATCTTTTAGTTTTGTTTACATATGGGTAACATTTTATTTTTTGTATACCATAAGACAACTAACTTGTTTATCATGTTAATATATTACCAATATTACCGATTATCTTTGGTTATTGCTTATGTGACAGATACGTGACATGTACGTGCACAAAGAAACCACATGTGTACATTATAAAAGGGTGCCATTAGTTAGGTCGTTAATTAAGCCCCAGGCTGAGATGAAGATGGAATAAGACAATTTGGACTCAAATAGTCGTGAAAACGAAGACGCGGTCGGGTTTACTGATAATTATTGTGAAAGTGACATCATTAGTAGCAACCATGATGATGACATGTCAATCCATTTGGCATGGGAATCTTGTGAAGAAGCTTACGAGACGTCATATCATGCCTATCAGTGTCAATCACTTTGCATGTGGATAACAAGTTGACAATTTCCTTGATCTATTGTTCCCTCTATTTCACTATTAGAAAATCCCATTTTTTGCACAAATTGTAGCCTTTAACAAGCATATACTTGATCCAATTGTAACAAAAACTAATACATTTTCTATAAAGTAGCATTTATAATGACCAGAACAATGCTACCAAGTGAAGTCAAGGCATCCTTTTGGTTTCTTTTGAAGTAATCCATAATGTATCGGGGGTTTATGGCTTTCACAACAAAAGCATCTCACATAAAAAAATTACAACATAACAACCCCACCAATGAGAGCGAACCAGGTATGTATAATACAAAAGAGTAATCAAACATTTGAATTATAAATAACTATATAAATGGTGTTAGAAGTAGTATTGGTAAGATGTGAACACAATAAACAAGTTAGTTACCTTATGTGTACAAAAATTAAAATGTTACCCTTATGTGAACAAAACTAAAAGATAATTTTCATTTTCACTTTATTTTTGTCAATGTACATGCCACATACATGTCACATAAGCAGTAACCTAAGATAACCGCTAATATTGTTTAGATGTGAACATAATAAACAAGTTAGTTACCTTATGGTGTAAAAATATAAAATGCTACCCATATATAAATAAAACTAAAAGATAATTACCCTCTTAAGCTATTTTTCGTGTTATAATATGTGGTTCAAAATTATTAAAATTTTATATAACAAAATATTATAATAAATTATCATTTTTATAACTAATATCAATAACATAATTATTTTCAACATATACGTACCATATATTGGCTATATACATTTAGGTCCCGTTTGATAGTTGCTGTCTGGGAAAGTTTTATGACTGAGAAATAAACAATATTGTTTGATTGTACATCTGACTGACTGTGCTGAATGATGAAAAATGACCATATTACCATGTTGTTCTATACTGTGACGGATGAAGTTGCTGAATGATTATAAAAACATACAAATTCTCATCCAAAATTAAATTACATAATAATATAAAAAATTCAATATGTATCTTCTTTTTTATGCAAATCAAGATTACTGATAAAAATAAAAATAAATAAAAAAGATCTACAACTAAAATAAAACATAAAGATATTGATTGTTCCAGACAGGATCGAGAGGTATGAGAAATGGTGGGTGATGGATGGAATAGAAAGGAAAAAAAAGAAGCGAATGAAAAGCATGAGTTTTTTCTTTTTTGTTAGCACATAATTGTCCAAAGTTTCATTCAGTCCATAAAGACATGGTCTTGGGGCTTTGTGGGAAAGACGTATTTTACCGAAAAAAGACCAACTTTTTTTTTGTGCAAATCAAACATTTTTTTCGGTCCATTCAGCCAGAAAAATCAACTTGGACCTTAAAAATATATATATGAAAAGTGATCTTATTCTACACAACACAAGGTTAATCGTCTATTTACATGTAAACCAAGTTAAATGGGTTAGGGTTTTTTCATTTAAAAAATTAAATTCAACCCAAAAACCAAAAAAAAAAAAAAAAATGTTTTACGCGGTTTTCACTTTATTTTGCCATGTTGAACCTCACGTGAGACACCGCCCTTCCTCTTCATCGTCGCCTCCATAAATGGGCGCCATTACATGAAAGCTAACACGTCCACACAGTTTCACAATGACCCTCTGGTCCAGGTGCCAAGATTAGGTCACCAACAACAAACAAAGAGAAATCAAAGACACAAACACTCAGAGATAGCAAAAACACAGCATCAATGGAACGAGGGTTTATTTTCTCTCTATTAGCCGTTTTTTCCGTCATATCCCTTTCAATTTACATCACCACCCACCATCACAATCACAATAACCGCCACCCTTTTCTTCCTTCTCCTTCTCCTCCGACTTCCCTCATTTCCAAGTCCGACGACAGAATCTGGCCTGTAAGTCCCGCAATTATGATCGTGACGATTTTGATTCTATAACCGAATGGGTTTTTCATCTTTAATGTTTTGATTCAGAAATTGGAGTTGAATTGGAGAATTGTGATGGCAACGATAATAGGGTTCTTGGGTTCTGCATTCGGAACAGTTGGTGGTGTTGGTGGTGGCGGCATTTTTGTTCCCATGCTTACTCTGATCGTTGGATTTGATACCAAGTCTGCTGCTGCTCTTTCTAAGTGTGCGTTTTCACTCTTTCTTTTCCGATATCTTATCTAAGTAATGGATTCATATTAACCTACAAATGGTTCTTGAATTTTCTAAGAGGGGTTTATATTTCATTTCACAAACAGTGATTCTTAAAGTTTCTGATAACTTATATTTGGAATGAAATCTTTTTATTTGGGTACAGAAAGTTTGAATATGATTTGAGTTTGTAATTGAAGGTATGATAATGGGGGCATCAACATCATCAGTTTGGTATAACCTAAGAGTACCACATCCATGCAGAGAAGTACCAATTCTAGATTATGATTTAGCACTCTTATTTCAGCCTATGCTCATGCTTGGAATCACTCTTGGTGTTGCTCTTAGTGTTGTTTTCCCCTATTGGCTCATCACTGTTCTTACCATACTCCTATTCTCAGGTAACCCCTACCCCTACCCTCATCAATTATAATTAAAAATTCAGTTTTGATTTATGAGTTTATTATAAAGATTAATACCCATTAAATATCTTCATGGTATGTTCTAACTAGTTCTTAGTAGTTTAACAATTATTCATGCACTTCTATCAATAACTCTTTTTCAAGTTCTTTTACCTAATGATATATTGTTGATAGGGACATCTTCAAGGTCTTTCTTAAAAGCTATAGATATGTGGAAGGAAGAGACAATAATGAAGGTGGAAATGATTGTATTGACTTATAAGTTATAACATATTGAAATAAAAAGCCAAAAAGTATGATCTTAATCTTATGATTAATATTTTTTTGATATTATGGCAGAAAGAAATGGAAAGACCACGAGAGCCAACTGTAAATTCTCGTGGTGAATGTAAGTTTCATGAATCTTTTTGGATCAAAAGTGAAACTTTTTGAACTTGGAGTGCTTTTTTGTAACTTGTGTTTTTTTTGCTATTAGTGCTTATTGACACATACGAGCCACTGATTCCTAAAGAAGAGAAAACGCCAATGGTGACTATTGTTAACTTTAACGTTTTGTCTTTTTTCCTTTTAATCATTTAATTTTCTTATTATTTCCAACAAAATTTGCAGCAAATTTTTCTGTTCAATTTACGTTGGGAGAAGCTAATGGTCCTGATAGTCGTATGGGCTGCTTTTCTTGCTCTTCAGATCATTAAGGCAAGCAGTTTTCTCAATTATACTTTTGACTTTCAAGAGTCAAACCAATTAGTTGTGATGACTTTAAGGACAACAAACTATTATTAAGACACTAATATCATTAGGAAGCATTTTGAGTGAAAACAGTAAGCTCATCAATGTGAAATTTGAATTTGAAAAATCAAACGTTTGACTTTACAATACATGTTCTTTATAGCAACCTTGTGCTTATCTTCATGCAGAATGACTTAGTAGCATGCAGTACATCATATTGGGTAGTCACCATAATACAGGTAATTTGTATTCGAACTATGGTATCTCAACATGCATCATATTAATTGAACAATTCTTTTTAGGGTTAAATGCAAGAACCATAATACACTTTCTTTTTATGTCTATTTGTGTTTCTTGTAGTTCCCTGTAGCATTAGCAGTATTCGGATACGAATGTGTTAAGTTGTACAAAGAAAGCAAGAAGCGTAAAAGCATGGGGAATCCTGAATCAGTGTGTGAGGCTGCAATCGATTGGACTGGGCCCCACCTTACGTTTTGTGCATTTTGTGGAATTTTGGGTGGCACGGTTGGTGGGCTTTTGGGGTCCGGTGGTGGCTTCATTCTTGGCCCTCTTTTACTTGAGATCGGTGTCATGCCACAGGTAAAAATAAAATTTATATTCTTAATTCTCTAACAGAATGCTCAAAAATAAACATAATTTTTTTTTTCTTGGTGTTATATATAGGTTGCAAGTGCAACAGCGACATTTGTGATGATGTTCTCATCATCATTATCTGTAGTTGAGTTTTACCTTCTCGAAAGATTCCCAATTCCTCATGGTATATAATCTCCATTTCTACAATCACCATTCAATTTCACAAAAACTTTAAATACAAATTATGATTTACGTATCATTTTTATTTGCAGCCTTGTATCTTATGGCAGTATCTATAACAGCTGGCTTCTGGGGTCAGTTTTTCATCAGAAAGCTTGTTGCAGTACTAAAACGAGCTTCAATTATCGTCTTCATTCTTTCAGCTGTCATCTTCACCAGTGCTCTTACAATGGGTAAAGTTAATAATATTTTTCTTGTTGTACTTTGTGTTTTAGGAGATGTAGCATGATGAACTTGGATTGATATGCAGGGGTTATTGGCATTGATAGAAGTATCAGGATGATCCATAATCATGAATTCATGGGATTTCTTGAGTTTTGTAGCAGTCAATAGGTGTGGAAAACAAAGGGTTGAAGAAATTAGTGCAGAAAAAAGATGGAAGATATGGTGTTCATGTACAGAATGTATAATGTAGTTGTAGGCACATCTGGTGTCCCCTTTTCCACGATCATCAAGTAGGATTTTTTTTTTTTTTTTTTTATTTTATATATATATATATATATATATATATATATATATATATATATATATATATATATATATATATATATATATATATATATATATTAGCTTCATTGTCCAAATTTTGGTTACATATACTCAGTAATTCGACCCATTTAGTTAGAATGGGAAGAATTGAGTTACATATATTCATTTTTTCGTGTTGGTGAATTCTAATTAAGACCATGCATGTCAATGATTCAATGCAATCAATAATTAATTTATATATTTTTAACAAACTAGGTTAGAGACCTATGTATTACATTGTTTGATAATTTAGAAAATCAAACTACATTAATAAAATATGAAAAATATAAAAATACAACAGTAAAATATGAAGAAATATAGAAAATATGAAAGATTATGTGTGACATCCCAAAAAAAAAAACGATAAAAATTTTGTTTTTATAATTCATTCTATTCATAAGAAACTGATACCAAAGTAATCAAAAGAGTCACATTGTATGATAATATCAGAGTACAAATCCCAAAATCACTAAGTGCGGAAAAACATGGAATAATGCGGTGCGATCAAGCCGAACCCGTACCCTTCGAACTAGAAGCACCTGAACCAGAAACTGAAAACTGTAAGCACAAAGCTTAGTGAGTTCCCCCATCATACCACATACTAATCAAACATACTACACAAACATAGTGCCAAACATATTCGGGTGATGGCCTGCCCCTTCGGTCTTTTTCAACCGAATACAACCAAACATATTTGGGTGCTGGCCTACCCCTTCGGTCTGTCTCAAACGGATACTACCAAACATATATGGGTGTTGGTCTACCCCTTCGGTATATTTCAACCGGATACCGGGTCTATTTCACCCCTACTATTACTACAACATAATATCATAATAGTAATCACCGATTCATCATACAAATATAGACATGACTGACAATTATCACAAAGACAACATCATGCTATAACATAACTAGTAGTCCAGCTTTGGTGCCTTCGACCCACGACTACTGCGAAGGAAGACTCACCTCATTCTGAGGGTATCAAATCACACTCGACAGATGACTCGCGAACTCCTCTCCATATCGCACAAGCATAAAACCCTAATTAGAAGTTACGTCACAATCTAACTAAGGTCCAAAATCCTAGTCCTTGACTTATGGCAAAAGGCTCCTTTACCTTTGCCTTATTGGGCCTCCTTCTCTCCAAGGCCCAAAACCACAAAACCTAGAAAGGCATCCAAACCCACCATAGGGCCTCTATGGCCCATTATGGCCCAAGGACCACCAAACATGGCCTTAGGCCCAAAAAGGACTTGCTACACTCACGTGGGCCTGAGGCCTAATTTTCTCAAGTTAAAAGCCCAACACCCGAAAGAGCCCAAAATCCTCCAAGCCCACAGTTCGTATACGCGCGACGTACTTGGCTTGTACGCCCGGTGTATGCTGGTGTTGACCAAGGTCGAGGCGCTGACCCAGTACGTGCATTGTACAATTGAGTACACACGACATACTGGTCTGCCAAGCCAAACTTAACCCTATGCCTTAATCCCTTAAGACCTTACGTCCAAAACTTAGATCCAGACCCCTACAAATGTCGTAAGCCATAAATTTGCAAACTTTATGCTTTTTCATGCAAGGATGGGGCTCAAAACATGAATCAAGTCCATAAGCACACTTGGTTGGTCCCTAACACTTGCATGGTTGAGGCTTAACCATCAAGATCTGATTTTTATGACTCAAAACACCTCCAAGAGCTCAGAAGGACAGCTCATATGGTTTGAAGTTCCATAACTCCAAGAATCCAAACTATGGGACCAAAAGATGACATTTCCACCCTAAAACTAGATCTAAGCATGCAATGGTCAAGGTTAAAGCTTGATACCATCAATGGGTCAGAAATGGTGCCAAACTTCTGGATCTACAAGCTCTTCCCACGTCCTTACTTATTCTCAAGCCTCCTTCTTCTTCAAAGCTCTAAAGAACACCAAAAATCATTCAAGAAGCTCACAAATGCACTAAGGTGGCTTAGGGTTCGAGATTTGCACTTCAAGGGCAATGGAGGCTGAAAAGGTAAGGGACTTGGGGGACTTAAGGTCCTTAAATATGGTGCAAACCCTAAAAAACTAGGGTTTGATTCAGACATGAGTACGCCATGCGTACACCACGTACGCTCAACATACGTGGTTAATTATTCGCGACCAACCTGTGGCTAGTACGCTAAGCGTACTCAATGAGTATGCCCCGCGTACTAACCAAGGGACTAATGTTAAAGCGATTTTACACTAGGGACCAAAAGGGAACTTACCAAAAACTTAGATGTTACATTATGAAAGTAAAATGATAAACAAGTATGAAATGTGACTTTTATAATTTTTGTCTGTTTGTATTATAAGATTATACTTTCAAAATAGAATAGTTGCAAATTAAACTTAAAAAAAAATAAAACTGGAAAATTAGAAGTACAATTATTAAAATAAAATAAGATATGTAAACCACACACTTAATTAAAACTCAAATTAAATTACATTTACGACATATAAATTGGGAAAATGACACAAATGTCCTACGAAGTTTTTAGGGTTGGTCCATTTAGTCCCTAAACTTTTTTTGTTGCTTTATGGGGGTATAAGATGGATCTTAACATGCTTATTTAATCCCTTAAACCCAGAATAGCCGGTTTTATATGCCACATAATCAATTGAATATGATGTGGTTCTTGTTACAGTAACAATTAACATATTTAGTCCTTCCCCTTTTATCTATCTCACAACAACAAACAGGGAAGGGCCTCTTTAGCAAGATCACATGGTTTTATCCTGAATTCAATGGCATCCGTCCCACATTTTGCACTTCGAAGACCATTCAATTAAAAAAATAATAAGGAAAGACCCACGAAACATAGTGTAAAAGCCAAGCGCAAACAATTCACTTAATGTTTGGTTTGACTTTCAAGCTTTCACCAATAAGAAGCCCTTCAAAACATGGACTTGGTGGTCTTTGGTAGTCAGACAACTCGATTTCAGGGGGAACATCGTTGACAAATGTCAAAAACTCCTTTGAAATTCCGGATTAAACCAATTTATTATTTGCGATTTTAGAGTTTTCTCCATTAATGAGTTCTTAGTGTTCTTGGTTCATATTTCAGATTTCACTCTAATCTAAGCTTAAGAAATCGATTAAATATGGTTTTATGCCCTAAAATTGGTTTTTGATTGTTACAGTTGAATTAATTTGTGTATTTCCTATTGAAATTGTTTTGATAACTAAATTTTCTGGATCGTTGATACATTTTGTACTTCCTGCGATTGCTTTTCAAAAAGGGAACTTACCAAAAACTTGGATGTTACAATTCTCCCCCACTTGAATCAGACTTCGTCCTCGAAGTCCACTGCTCCAAATAACTCCGGATAATGCTCCCTCATCTCATCCTCTGGATCCCACGTCCACTCCGAACCCTTGCGATGCTGCCATTGCACCTTAACCAGATCGACAACCTTGTTCTGCAAGGTTTTCGTCTTCTTGTCGAGGATCGCTACATGTCTCTCAATGTAGTTCAGGAGGTCATCCACCTGAATGTCCTCCAATGGAACTACTGCGGAATCATCAACCAAACATTTCCTTAGATGCGAGACATGAAAAGTATTGTTAAACTGACTAAGCTCCACTGGAAGGTCCAATCGATACGCCACCCTGCCCAGCCGGGCTATAACCCTGAAAGGAACGATATACTTGGCGCCCAGCTTGCCCGCTTCCTGAATCGGATGACACCTTTCCAACGTGACACCTTCAGGAGAACCATATCCCCAACCTGAAACTCCAAGTCTGATCGGCCCTTGTCGGCATAACTTTTCTGTTGACTCTGAGCTATTTGAAGCCTGCCATGAACCTACTGAATCAGCTCGGTCGTCTTGAGTAGCACCTCGGTACTCCCCATAAATCGTTGACTGACCTCCCCCAACATATCAGGGTCCTGCATTCCTTCCATAAATCATCTCAAAATGAGGTTGATCAATACTGGCGTGGTAGCTATTGTTATTGAAACATCCCAAAAATACGGTCCAGAAATTTCGTTTGAAATCATTAATAAAACCACAGTTATCAACCCATTTCATCAAAACATAAGTTATAATATCTCAAACATTGTTATCAGAGTTTCAAAACATCAGAGTAAACATCCCAGGCTAAAACATCTTGGTGTGTGCAATGCAGTCATCCCGAGCTCTTCTCTTTGCAACTGGAAGTACCTGAAACCAAAACTGAAAACCGTAAGCACGAAGCTTAGTGAGTTCCCCAACCTACCACATACCATACACATAAGCACATATATTGGGCCCTCGCCCGCTACATCGGGCCCCGCCCGACATCAGACGAATCCGGCATCGGGCCCCGCCCGGCATCAGGCCCCGCCTGGCATTGAGTTCCACTCGGTATATAGATATGTTTCTCTTAGGCACCGCCTGTCTCTGGGCCCCGCCCGCTATACTCATACAACAATATACTCATACTAGAACATAAGGAAAACATACTCTAAGTGTATTTCCTGTCCTAAGGCCTCGCCTAACTTGGGCCCCGCCCCTGTCGTGCTACTGATGAGTCATGGAACCCTGTCCATACTCAGCTAGTGATGAGATATGGCACCTCGCCCACACTCACCTCCCTACCAGGCACATACAAGTATCACACAAACAAGTATAATCTATCATGAAAACATTTCTCGGGCTTGCCCTGACATCGGACCTTAGTCCGGAATAACATACTGATAAACCTTCCTCGGGCCCCGCCCGGCATCGGACCGAAGTCCGGGAGCATATAAACAGTCCTCGGGATTACCCCAGCATCGGATTGTAATCCGGAACATACAACAT